GGGGGGGGGGGGTGTCGCTGGTTTACACTCGTAGTCCCCCCCCCCCCCCCCCACCCCACAAAAGTGTGAGTCTGTTGTTTTGTGAGTCTCTTTATGTGTATCGATAGTTTTGTGCTTGTGTTTGTAGATCTACGCTTGGTTCTCTTATGTGTGTTAATTGTCATTGTAGAGTTTTTAAGCCCCCAATTGATACTGTATAGGTGACCTGAGATGTGGGCTGCATCCAAGGCCACACAACGTTAGTTTAGTTTGCTCAGAGTTTTACGGCGCTTGCGGCTACATCAGATCGTTATGAGCGCGGGCCACAAGTTGGTTGTTTTCTCAATCTTTAAATAATCAGTTTTCAGTTGTCTTTTGTTAATGGCTGTATATATTTATTAGTTTTGTTTCTTTGATTAGGAGAAGTTTCTTGTAAATGCTCTGTCTCTGAGATTACAAATGGTCGCATCAGTATCTTAAGATATTTCTCGCTTGAAAATGTGACATTCGTACAATTCCTTGGTTCTTTCAATACATGTTTGCAGCCTTACTTAAGCTCTGGACTTGATAGTGCATAGACAAGGTAATAGCCCCTGTTACTCCAAAATGGTTGGTCTTTTCTGTCAGATGCGCATCTATGTTTCCAAGATGAAAACGGTTATATGAGTCTCGTCCAATTTTGTCATCAAAGACATAAGCTTACGTAAAATTACTTCGGTCTTATCATTGTTTCCCCTCAGGCTGCGAGGTGGCATCAAGGTTTGGACTTCGTTGGCGTATTTTGTCACACTTTGAGATAAACAGAACGCGGGCAGCCTGGCCTTGCAGATTATGACAATGCGCAGCAGCCAGATGCCGTTTTCGTGCATGTGTTCGGAGCTGTCTCTTGACTCTCAGTGATGGAACTGTCTCTTGACTCTCTGGTTTTTGTCGTTGTTTTTTTGTGGATTTTTTTTTGGGGGGGGGGGGTGAAGTGTTTTACGGCGCTCGCAACTGCATAAGGTCATATGAGCGCGTAGGACACACCTAATACTTTTAGTTGGTTGGAAATTTTGAATTTTGCCCGGGTGGTGGCCGAAGCCTACTCTTATCGATTTTAGACCACCTGGGGATCTTTAACGTGCGCAACTTGCACACGGGCCCTCCGAGATTTTTCGCCCTTGTCCGAGAAGGCTATAGGTGTAGATCTTTCCTACCAGAAGATCAGGGGCGTGGCACAAAGACAGCTGTAAGAAGGAGTCAAGGAGTAGCAGTAGAAAGGCTGCAGAAAGAGTCCGGAGCCCAGAGGAGGGGCAAAGCAGGAGAGGGGGTGGGGCAGAAAGAGGAGACGAAAGCAGACGACAGAATATTGCTAGAGAGTAGGCAAGGAGATGAAAGGAGACAATTTTAGAGAAGAAAATGTTTCG